TGTAAGTTCAATTTTGTTTTTTATTTTTCTACACTACTTCCCAAAATTAGTTGCTTTCTTTTTTTTTTTGTATAGAATTGAGAAAGTATTATAAAAATAAGGAAATTATTATAATAATCAATCTTAGCCTCTGTGTCTTGAAAAGCATAATTTTCTGTGTCCATTGAAAGGGGAAGGTACTGTGAAATAAAATTGTTGTAAACAACTGGTATAAGGAGAAGGTATTGTGAAATAAAATGTTTGTAAACAACTTGTAAGATTTCCTAAACTTGCTACCCAACTTTGTGTGACTTTAAAAAGTAAATTGGACAGTTTAAGATGATTTTTCATGGCACTCCCTATGTAACATTTAAAAAATTCATTCAATAAATGACCCTCTTTATTCCTTTCTAATTTATTTCGTTTTTTAAAATTTAAATAGAATTTTTTGTAATAGAAAGTACTCAAAGTGCCAGGGTGTAATTTGTCCCTAGATGGTAAAAATAAAAAGATTTTCATTTTTCTGAAGACACTGCAAAACGCAGGGAGAAGCATGTTGCACGACTTCCTCTGCCATTGGCTTCTGGATGACCATGAGGGTCATATTCTTGCATGATTACTATTGCCTTCTTTCTTTTTGCTACAATGTGAATGGTCAAATAGCCTACCAATATTCTAGAAACATAATTATATTAAAAATGCCATGTCTTTAGTTCAGATATTCAAAAAATTGTTAAAGAAGTTATTGAGCTATTAAAAAATCTGCCCATGACTACTGATAGTTGTTTTTTCTTGGTTGTTGTTTTTTTCTACATGTTAAATGTAGAAATGTAATCGTACATCTTATGATTAGTAGCTCAAGTCTGACAGTAGCAAATGTGTTAAATTATGTGTGTCTGTAATTTGTGTGGGTGTGTTGAAAGAAAGATACAATTGAGCATAAAGTTAAGTAGGGGTTATTAAATTTAGATGAAGTTATATTGAATGCAATTGCTGCAAAATATATTGAAAAGATATCGCTGAACTAATCGGTATAATCTTTTAGTACTGAGAGTTTCTTATCATGTTGGATTATGATGGTGTTGTGATATAACTGATATAAACATTTTTTTAACAGTATTATAAAATTGTATAATTTGTAAAATTATACATTTTGTATTAGCTCCCCTTTTATCCTTTAAAACTTCATGCCTAATGAGTATCCTTTTTTAACATCTCATACAAATTAATTCAATGCAGTTGAAATTCAGAGTGATATCACTGTCGTCTAGATAAAATTGTACTTATGAACATTTTTGTTGAATTTGGTATTTAAATTTTATAAAAATTGTTTTTCTTCAAAGAAATCTTTATTTTAATCTTTCATACTTAGGCAAAGGAACCTGCAATTTTTTTTTGCAACTTTTTGTTTCTTCAGAATACTCGACATTCCACTTTCATGGGACATACTAACAACCTAAAACCAAAGCACTAGCTCCTGAAAGATTGTGTGCCCACCAGTAAATGTTGCATGTGGATGTATAGTACAGATCTAGTCAAAAATGAATAAAATTGAAACAAGGACATGAAAAACTTGTAATTTTTGTTTAAGTTTATCTCGATGTAAAAGTTTCATATTGGTTTACTCTTTTGGGACAAGTGATCAAACAATTCTCTCTCTTTGAGCTTTCAATTTGTTTTTTTCTTGTATGTTTCAAGTGCGAGAAATGATTTATTGATCTTGTCTTTAATAAATGGGAAGGCAGTGCAAGTATTATTCCCAAATATTCTTTCAGCACAAATTTTATAAAAACATTTCTCATTTAATACTGAGGAAAATTATTTAATATTAAGCAATTTGAATATAATTGGATGCAATAAATCTGACTTAATTTGTTTACCACAATGCTAATGCTTTGTTCTGTGTAAAGCTGTATGAAAGCTATTCTTTTCATGTAAGGGGAATTTTCCATTTTTCACCACAGAAATAGATTTTTTTTACTTGAACAGTGAACTTTGAACAATGTATATTATACTTTTCCAAAAACTCTGTGCTTTTGGTTTTCTGAGATTTTTGACAACAATCTCAATATGTTTTATATTACTTGAAGATAGATTTTGACAATATAATCTCTCTTCGTTTTAATTTACACATTTAGTGCAAGTACTGTGACAAAATAGGAACATTTTTATATATTTGAGTTTCTGGTAAGGGTAATTACGTAATTACCCTTACATTTACCCATTACGCATTACGTAATTACGTATTGCTGCAGATGTACTGATTTGTCATAAAATTAATGTTGTAGATATTCTAAGAGCACAATTGTAGGGACTACAGTCATATGTTCATGTTCGGTCATGACCTCTTTTAGACATTCTTCTATTCACTTCATGCCTTTTTTTAAAAAAAAAGAGAAGAAAAAAATTGACTGGCTAGAAAGCATTATTGTAATCTTAAAATGTATGTGTTTAATTTTTAAATGAATTTTCATCCTCATTCTTACATCAACTTCAGTATAGAAATTTTGCATCCTTCTCAAATCATATGTGCTTTGAGACATTCCTTCTATTGGCCCCCTGCATGAAGTTGTAATGCATATATCCCTTGAAATTACCCTATTTGGAACTGTTACTATTACATTGGTGATCTAATTATGTGTTGTGTACAAGCTGTTCAGAAAAAGAATTGAAAGTATTAGAAAACTTAGTATTAACAATGAGAAAAATTATTATTAACTACAAGTTATTATGTCACATGTATTATAATTCTGATTAATTATGATCACAAAAAATGTTAATTGTAGTATTCTTAACTATGGGTGATTTATTTCAATTTTATTTTTTTAAAGCAAAGTGTATTTTGTTACAGATTCCCTTTTAATGCAAAAAACTGTTTACCAATTTCTGTGTATGGTTTTCTTATATTAAATTAAGATTACCTTTTTTTCTGAGCATCTGTATGTTAATGACTAGAGATTATTAGAAGCCATCTTTTCTCCTAGTTTTTTCTTAAAGCTTTTCTGATTGGCAGGAGCTTTCTGTTGTATTGGAGGAAAACTTCAGTTTAGTGCTTCTTGAAGGTGGTATTAGAGCATGTCAATATTGTAGACTTTTATTGCGGCAAGGGTATTACTATGAACAAAGTTTATGGACTTTGGGTATCAAGTGTATTTCTTTTGTAGGTTTGTTCGAAAATCTTGTGTTACAAGTATTCATGGTTAAAAAAAGTGATTCATAACTAGTATTTTGGAATATATTGTAATTTACTCGGTTATCTTTAATACTGGTCATGAATGCAAAACAAAATATGAATCCATGTTTGATGTGAATTTCAATTGAAGAAAAAAATCAAATAATGAACTTCTATAACAAAAATATGGCATCTCATTGCACATTGTACTCTTTATTAATTAATAATATAAGTATCATTTCCATTTATCAATTACCAGCTTAGTATTACTGGAAAAGCCATTAAAAATGAAATATTAAATTAATTTTGAACATGTTTGGAAAATCAAATGTTTAGATGAATATTGTTGGATAGGTTGATAACAGCATGTAATAGTTAACATTTTGTGAAATGTCAAAAAGAGATCTCAATCATTTCTTTTCTATACTCTTAGCGATACTCTCTAACTCACTGTTGATAAAATAATGTAAAGGAAACATAATATAACACATGGCTATATAAAGTTGTAGAACCACTTAATTTAGTCACTAAAAGCCTCAATTTTTTCTTAATTGTGCAGGTTTCAAGATTTTAATTAGTTGTAACTTTAAGCACTTCCATAATGAAGTTTTACTCCCCTTGCTTATGGCATGTTCCCGTCTCTGTGTCTCTGCATAGTAACAAATAAGTGATGGGAAGCCTGTGTAAAGGCAAGTTCTTTACACATTGTTATTATGTTGTGCTGTGCATAATTCATAGGAAATGATATTTATGTAGTAGTACATCTTTTTGAGGCTATTATATCGTTGTTCTTATTATGTATGCTTTGATTTGTGTACATAAAGTTGCAATGAAATTTGCAAATTTTTCTGCATGGACTAATGCTATGGTTTGCTTTGCTAATAGAATTTGATTTGATTTTAAATTCTAGCATCTTGCTTCTTGCTTTTCTTGACCATATGAAAAACATTTTTTAAGAAGCAGATGTTTGAATACCATTGTCAAATCGTAGTTCTTGGTTCATAATTATGGAAATTAAATATATTAGTGTGTTAATAATCAAACATTATAGTTTTAATACCCAAGGTGGTTAAATGAGAAGACCTTAAACAGTGTTATAAATTGTAATTCTGCACTGTATTTTCATATCTGAAATTGTGCTACTATTGTATATATTTTTATTCATCACATTTTTTTTAAGAAAATCTTATTGTGTTATATAAAAATTAATGAGAATTGAGGCCTGTTTGATCAGGGGTTACAGCTTTCATTTTTCTTAAAATTTTTTAATTACTATTACTATTTTTATTATTATTATTAAATTACTATTTTTATTATTATTATTAAATTACTATTTTTATTAAAAGAATGTAACTGTGTTCTATATTTTTTTATCACAATTATTATAAATAATTTTTATAATTTTAATTGTGGAAAATGTGATGAACTTGCTAACATTTGATAGTTGTGTACTTTTGGAGTTTCAAATGGGTTTTCTAAAGATACTAAAGTTCTTTGATTAAAATGTCAGTTCATTTTTTTCTGAAATTTTCAGTTTATTCTTTATTTCAGTGTCATTGATCTTTTGTCTTTTAGTTTAGTGGTATATTATGATGATTTTATGTATTGTTGTAATAATCATTAGTTTTATTAAAAAGTGAAAAATTTCCAGAGAGGGCATGCTTTTTATTAAGTCTATAAATTATAAAGCATAAATAAAATATAAAAATAGAATATATATATTGCTATATCAAACCTTGAAGTTTTGTACCAAAACAATCTCATACTTGTTAAAATTTAGCTTTTCTAGTGTTTTTATAATGGTATTGTGCAGTTTACATCCATGTCTGATATTTGAATGGCTTTACAGTTCGCGTCTGTCACTTGTGAGCAGCCGTAGTCAAGGAGAGTTTCCAACAAAGGATGAGTCGGGTCGTGAGGCTACCACCCCATCTGCATCGGAACCTACATCGAAACGAGCTTCGTTTATTGAGGTGAGTGTTTGCGGTTTAGTGAAAATCTGAGAACTGTAGGTGGGGGCCACATCAGCTCAAGAGATTGAAAGAGTATATCTCAATACTATCATCTGGGTTTCTTTATTGAGACATTTTTAACATTGATGCATGCCCTCTCTGAGGGTCAATTATTCTGTTCAACCAAAAGTTCTCAATGTTCTACACTCCAATGCGTTTTGAAACACCTCCATTGCATTGTTAAAGACTACTTACTACAACCTAATGGACCACCAGCCCTTCATTTGTGCATCCAAGCAAGTGGTCAGGACTTGACTTCTTTGAGAGCCAATGTCACAAAACTTCTTATGTTGGTTGTTACAAACAGAGTCACACTTACTTGCAGGGATAAGATGAAGTTTTCCATCTTAGCAAAGATGTCATTTTGTACCTCAAGCAACTACTGAGCTCTTGACATCTCCCATCAGTACAAAGAAAACAATTATTTAGAAATTTATAACCCTTTCATTTTCCAAAGGAAACGAGTAAACGTTCATTGAGATTCAAGACAGTCATTAGCTATTCTTGATTGATCATGTTGATGATATAGTTCAAATGGAATCAACTATAAACTTCCTAATTTTGATAGGAATAAGCACTACAGAAGATGTGTTATTTTACAAGTAAACTACAGTAATATAACTATATTTTGTAGTAAAAACACATATTTGCATTTATAAAATTTGATTTCTTATGGTTTAAAAGAAATTCTGTGAAGGAGGATAAATAGTGTAGAAAAAAAATCAAAGAAACCATACCTTCAATTTTTGTTTTGCTTCATTTCTACAATAATAGAAATCTTAGTTTGCTGTAATAAAACAATAACTATACTTTTACACATTAATCCTGAAAATTGATGCATTTCTAGTTTTTAATTACAGAAATGAATAAGTCGCAATTCATTTTGGAGGTCAAGCAACTATATAATCTGTATATAACTGTAGTGGTATGTTGCATTGTGTACTGTAGTTTTGTTTGTTTTATGTTTACACTAAGCTATTCAGAAGGAGTGGTTTATGTTACGAAATATAAAATGCATTGAAGGCATGAGTGATTTTGAGTATTAATAAAAGTAAAATTGTTCATAAATTCAAGTAAGTTGAGTTTTATGTTTGTAATGACAGTCTGTGGTTTTTTTTCTTTCCTTACTCCCTGAAATTGGTAAATTTTTGCAATACTGTTATTAATATTTGTAGATAGACAATAAGATTTGTGCACAGTGTTCAGTACTATTTCGAAATTATAAAAAAAATGATTTTTAAAATGTCTTTCAATTGTATCATTTTTCTGTATTTTTTTCCGTAGTCCTAAGTGTAGATGGGTGTTTATTTTTGTTTGTTTGTTATTTTATTGTCATTTTGACTTTTCTTTCACGTTCTTCTTACTTGCTCAAAAGTGATCAATAGTTGTTGTTTTTTTTGTGCCAGAACTTGCCAAAAAACATATTTTCACAGTTCTGCACTCAATTAGTCTTTCTCTTAATTCCTATGTAATCAGTAATTTATTGCACCCTGATGTGCACTACTGAGCCAGAATCTTATTGAATGAATTTTAATGTTTTTAATTCTATATTAATAATTATTTGGTATAGTTTTTAGTCAGGATACTGTTTTTGGTATTTCAATAAGTATTACAGTACTGAAATAACATGTTGTGATCATTCCTTACAAAGTTGACAAATGAATTTCATTCCATACTCACACTTGTGTTAATGATATTTTTAGAGAGGACTTTAAAAAATTATTTATAGTAGGAATACTTTCAGAATATTTTTCTCCTGAAAAAAGGTACTTGACATTATAATTTTGAATTCTCTCATTGTAAGGCATTTAAAATGTATTAGAAAGTAGGTTGGGCTTCTCCAGCAAATATGCTCTGTACAGTATGACACAAGCTACACTTACTTTCAAGAGACGAGAGATTTTCTGACAAGCTGACATTTTGTTAATTTCTGTTTAATGTGTTTCGGGTGTACAGTGACATTTTAAAAAAGTCAGTAAGACAGTAAAAGAACCTAACAATGCTCTCATTCCAGTCTGATAAATGAAAAGTTAAATATTACTAAATTTGACTTTTAGTTTTGTACTTAAATGAAAATACCTTTGTGTAATATCTTCATTCCATTAAAGTAGGAAGGTTTCTTTCTTCCATTAAAGTAGTTCATTCCTTTTTTAAGGAAGAGAACTTTGGAAAGAAAATCAGTTTAAATAAACTTTAATGTATGTTCCATTTTCATTTTAAGCTGTTATTGGAAATGACCTTAAAAGAGGTGGCTTCGACAAAAACAAATTCAATTACAACAAATAGAATCTGAATATATCTTTTCTTTCAGTGAGGAAGGTAAATGCAGTATAAACAATTAAATTATTAAACCCGAATTTCAAACAAAAGCATTAACTTCATATAAAGAAGGACATTCCGTCTCACAAAATCATTTGCAGACCAAATTTCAGTATGAAAGCTTCTAGAACAACATACTCTTAAATATGTTGTGAGTCTATTTTTCTAAAATAAATTCAGTCATTGTTAAAAGCAGACTTAACTGGTATTCTGATAAAGTTTCTGAAAAAGATGCCGTTGATGGATATTTGTCAGACACTTTCATTAAGATGTTTTTTCCCGTATCTTTCATTCAGTCTTCTGCTGCTGCTGTTGTTAATCTTTTCCTGAATAGTGTCAAGACTACAAGGATCACATTCTTTTCTGTGGGCTGGGTGCATGTGTGTGCTCCAACCAGAGTAAGCTCGTGCCCTTGTCCTGTGTTGCAGAAATCAGCAGAACAGACCAGCAGGCCTCGTAACTTGACAGTGGAGACACAAGTAACCATGGGAACAATAGATGAGAGAACTTTTGTAGTTTCTGTTCATGTTTGTTTTTCTTCACCTTCCCGAGAATTGGTGTCGCTGACTAAAAGTGATGTAAATGCTCCAGTAGAGTTATCTGTGTGTACTGATAACAACCATTATAATCAGTTATTTTAATTGAGTTTCCCCTTGAAGAGACATGACAACTTCTTCTGAAATTGTTACTGTTCATTTAATCAGTGTTAGAATTATGTAATATTTCATTAAAATTCATTTACACTTAATATTTGGATAATGTTTTAGTGGATATTTGTTTTTATGAAGTCTTTTCTAAAATTATGTACTTTTTCGAGATTCTTTTACCTAATTTTGAGGCTTCATATTTTAATCAATGTGCAAGTTGTTAGTCAAGTAATTGCATATCCATGATAATTTTACTGGACATGTTACATCATCCCTGCATTTCCTTCCAGATCCATATCTTTTATATCGGCAGACCTCCTCATATTAGGTCACTACCTGCTCCAGGGCTAGCTTCAGGGCATCTGTAAAGGGAGATCACTTCAAACAGGATGCTGTTCCAGAAATGACATAATTTTGCTATCTGAAAATAGCAAAGCAGATTCAGTGCAATAGATAAGTTATGTGAAAGAATGTGAGAGATTTCTAATATAGGGAAATATGAGTTACTAATGTACATTGTCCAAAGCTGAAGAAACTATTATGTCCAGAATTCAGTACAAGCAGCTCAATGCTCCAACTGTAAATCTTTCTCATCAGGTATTCATGTTTTTTTAGCAAAGGCTTTGGAATGCATGTTCCAATAATTTTGGAGATTCTGAAAATTATGCAATGTGGAAGGGTTTTGAAAGAGGAACATAAAAATTTAAACACACACTATTCTTTCTGAACCTTGTATGATTGTTAGAAATGTTACATCGGAATTCTGATAATGACATACAAAAACATTGATTATAATAATTGAACTTATTTTATGATATTTGTTCATTACAAGCTCAATTTTATACTTTACATTTCTGTTGTATATCCATAGTTACTTAATATTGCTCCTGATTGATGCACATGTATTTTTTGGGAAATAAGAATCATCTCATCTTTTATTATATAAAAATTAAAAACAAATTATGTCCCAGATTTTCAATACATTCAATACCTAAAATTTTATGCCAATGTTTATGTTATGAGGCAGTTCTAAAGGCACAAGTCTTATTACTCTAAAAAGTGCTATTGCATGTAGAGATTTCAGTGTGAGAGAGATCGGAAATACATGAGGGAGCAGGTTTTGTGATTTTGTATATGACTTTAGAAAATTCTTTGGAAGATTATTCTGTACTGCCCTTGGATATGTGGTAAAAAATGATAGAGCAGATACAGTTTTTCTATCGTTTAATTTGTGCAGATCCCAGCAAGCAAAACATCCATCTAAAAATAATTAATTAAAAAGTGTAGTGCTAATAATTGTTTAGGAAATATGCCAAGTATTTTGTTAATTTCCAAAAATAGAGAAGGTACATTTTGATCAAACAAAAATGCATTTAGCTTGATTGTATTGAATCTTAGTAATTATTTCAGGCTAACTTATTGAGGGCATGGGGCAATCAAGTTGCATTTGGTTTGACCATCTGGTAACATCCTCTTGTAAGTGAGCTCTCTTAACTTTTAGAGCTGGTTCCATATTCATTTTAAGTGCTTATTCAGGGGAAAAAATTGACCAAATCATTCCTTCTCTTCAAATCTGTCTGGTTTTCCTTTCAAATATCTAAGAGTTGCTATAGATTTTGAATTCATATTGAATCATAATTTCAGTATTGTGATTTGTACATTCTTTGCACAATATTCTTTTTTTTAATTTTAAAAAAATATTTATTTTGAAATTATTTATAATTATTATTGTTATTTGTGAAAGATGATGGAAAAAGTATGAATTTTATTGACCCTAATTTATGGTGCATTTCATTATTAAGTTCATTGAAGTAATGCATATAATGCATTCTTCTTCCTCTTTCTCTTTGTTCCTTTGCATGATACCTGCTCGGTAAATGTTTTCTTCCCTCATGTGTATCTGAAAGACAGCAAGGATAGTTCTAAATTATGATGTGAAAAATTTGCCTGCAAAATTTAATAATCTGGCCCAATATTTTCCATCAAAAATTTTCGTATTTGCATTCTGGACATCAGGTATTATATTTTTTTAGTATCATATTAAGTGTTCTGAAAAATAAAACATGATATATCTTTTTAAATTCTTATTTCATGTATTCTACTAATTTTGCAAGCTTAATTTTAACACTTTCAACTATCTTATAAGAAACATTAAGGTTTTGTGTAAACATTTAAAAAATTTTCAAACTGAAGTAAAAATGTACAGGAAAAAAGATATTCATACGTACAATTCTGAAGTGTAGAATATGAGGATATTTTAAAACAGCTTGTGTGTATCTCTGTCATAATCCTGAATGAGTCTTAAATGAAATATAAGGCAGGGGAACTTTCTGTCAGTACGTAATGAAAAGAAACAAGATAATATAAAATAATGAATTAAAATAATTCTTAGAAACCTATTTTAATTTCCTGTAGGTTTTGAACATTAGTCGTAGGAAAAATTAGAAAAATAAATTAACAAAAACATATTTTGTGTAAAATGCTTTGCGATCATGTTTTAATTTTTCTCCAGATTATAAAATGAAGTTAGCAGCGTGTGTGTTCTTCTTTTAAAGGGATTGGTAGTCCATTCCATTGTATGTATTTGGGGTTTCGTAAACTTTTGCATCATAAAAATGAAAAGGAACCGTAATTTTGAACATGTTTTGTGCTTTTTACTGCCTCAGATTAGCATTCTTATATTTTAAACTATAATTCTTCAAAAAACATTAAATTGTGATTGGTTTTTTCATATCTAAATTTGATGAGAGGAATTAAAAATACTCCTTCCCAAGAAATACACAGTTGAATTATCATACCAATTCTACTGTAGACAGGAGGCTATCTGAAGTTGGAGAAGGGGAGATTGTGTGAGAAATATGATAAAACAATGTATCATTACTGTATAGGGCACTTTCTTTGAGCAGGATAATCTTTGGTCAAATGAGTAACTCGAAAAATTTATGCCAAGGCATTAATCATATCAAATCTGCCTGCACCAGAGGCTTAAAAATTGTGGTATTACCTCCAAAATTGATGGAAGTGTAGTGAGAATTTTTGACTGAAGCTAGCCCACCTGGTTTTGTTCTCTCCTGTTCCAAAGACATGATTTTCGGGACGGTTCACACGTCCGTTTCTGGCATAGCAGACGGTAGATCTAGTCGTTAAACTGCTTCTTTTTATTCCACTTGCGTGCATGAATATATTAACAAACAAATTATATATATCTTCTCAACACAAAGACTTTTAATATGGCCTTGTATAGTTTGCTAAAGGTGTGTATTTAAATCCAATGGACATTAACCATTTTCTTAAGAATTGTACCTTTTTGCAAGAGCGACATTTTAGCATATTTTCTGTGCACAATTTGTAACAGTTCAGATTAGTGGCCTAGTGAGCAACAAAAAAAAAATAATGCAATTTTAGTTATCCTCTTGTTGCATGATGAAGAGCTTTTTGTTAAATGGTAATTAAAAATGCAGTACACAGGTTGCTTTGAAATGGGTGTCATGGGTGTACTGCTTCCCAAACGAGGGTGATTTAGGATTATACAAAGTACATCAACTGCGGTTTAACCAGGATGTTTGTGAACACACAAAAAATCCACAAGTTATTGAGAAGAGAGAATTAAATTTCTTATATTTTATGAAACATTGGAAATATCCTTCCATCTTCTTTAATTATCATTCTTTTTTTTTTCTTAGCTCTTAGTTTTTATTTTTTGAGTCTTTTAATAGTGTAGGTAAACTTACTTATTTTTTAAATATATTTTTATATTTTCATTAGCTAACATGTCAGTTTGATTGCAGGAGTAATCTATTTTTAAATAGCTCTGCATATATTGAAATTGTGTTTTTTATGTATATTGAGTGAGTTTCATCAGTTTTCTATTGAATAATTCAGTCATATTTAGAACATATCCTCTGTTTTTTGTTACTTGTCATGTAGATGTTTATAGAATATTAAAATGTAACAAATTTAATTGTTCTTGATGTCTTAGAAGGTAGTTTCCTTAGAGGCGAGATACTTTCAAACAAAGTACTTACTGTATTTTATATTGGTGGTCTTCAAGCAATGTAAAGAATGTTCCACAGTATTGTATAATCATAAAATGTTGATTCTGGGTAGAATTTGAATTACGAATCCAAAGGGTCTGAAAAAAATGGTGCAGATATTTTTGAGAGTTTGGAATCTCTGCATCTGGGATGAGGCCAGTTGTGAGTCATGCATGTATGCACAGTATGCAAGCATGATTTTGTGTACTGTGCAGGGTCAGAAGAAGGATAATTAATAAAGAGTGTAATAGTTTGACTCGCGCAAAGATATTCCCTGGTTCCTATTTGCAAATTCCATGTGTTCCATAATGCCCCATTTCTCCTTTACGATTCTACCAATTTTGAAAGGAAGTGCTTACTCAAATGATATTAGCCACTAATAAGGAACCTGTACCAAATATGGTACACGAGCAAAACCTCATTTTTATTTCCAGTATATTTCAACTAATTTGTCTATTTTGAATTAAATTTGTAGGTACCTAAACATATTTGTTCAAGGAAGTTCGTGTATTTTCATAAAATCATGAAAGTATGTAATATTCATGGTTTGGAACATTCTTTGTCTCTTCAGTGCTTCCTGTAAAAATGCATTATTGCATTGTGGTATTTTAATACCTTCTTCATGTAAGAATGTTTCTCCTGAAATGAAGCACAAAATGTACATTATTACATGTATTTCTGTTGGTTTTCCAGAATTGAGGAGGAGCAAGTATCGCTGAATATGTTATTCTACATTTTTACTTTCATGTTCTTATTTATTTTCAACATTAAACACTGTATTGCTGTTGCACTCAAAAATACAAGGACTTTTGCATGTCTTTGTTTAGGCTGAAGTAACTTGGACATTTTTTTCTTTTGTATCATAATCCTTACTTGATATGTTTATAGCTAAAGGAAGCACTGAATTCCAAATTTCCATTGTTTTTTTTTTTATAGGATGTAATCAGCTTAGTTTTTATTACAATACATTTTTTGAATTAGACTAGAAAAATAATAAAGATACAATGTGGTTAGAAGAATGCTATGGATGTTTAAATGAACTATGTAATCTGGATTGGTCATATTGAAGATTCCCTTAGATTTTGTTATGCTACTTTTAAGTAATGTAGTTGGTGAAACCAAGCAAACCTACCAAGGTAGCCAAATAAACAAGGCAGTCACGAAGTTCATATTTAATTGAAATATATATTTCAAAAATTAAAATTATAATTAAAAAAGGGGCAAGATAATTCACTTTTATTGTTTTTCATTTTTTAAATTCATGTTAAGATCAATTTACAATTCATAACTTAATTTCAATATGCCTCATTAAACTATGAAACTTTCTTTCTACATACATTACATCTATTACATTTTTATTAACTTTTCTTACCTTGTGTATCTTTATTGATTGTTTCAAATGGCAGTTTTGTTTTCAGTGTTTGAGGAATAAGAAATCTTTGATTCTAACCTTTTAAATGTGTGCCAATGCAGACAGGATTTGTTGAAACACTGAAGCCACAGTACATCCCTGGTCCTGCGATGGTGTCTCCGGGTGCCAGCATGACGACATCGATGGGTGGCGGAGGTGGTGCTGGTGGGTCAGTGGAGGAGCGCCTCACACAGCTGCAGATGCAACAGGAGATGGAAGGTCTGCGTGCTGAGGTGCGCGATCTCAATGAGAAGCTGGAGACGCTCAGAGGTGAGCCTTCCAAGAGAACTTTAATTGGAGTGAATTGCTGGAGAGTCATAATAATCCAATGTATTTGTAGTATACTTTCAGTGTTTGGACTGTAAGACATGGGAAAATAATGGGTCATGTTTCTCTGTAGGTATGATCCATCTAGTATCAGGGATCCTCTGTGAGTTAAGGCAACCTGGGGGTTGAAAACCTTTTTCTTTTTTTCTTTTCTTTTCTTTTCTTTTGGGGGGGGGTGTTTCTTTTTTTATTCTATAGCCCTGTTTTTCTTCTGTCAGAAAATATACATATTTAGCCTGTTTGAGCTTTCAGAATATTTTTTATGAATTTTTAAATGTTTAGTGTCAGTAGAGTCGTATTAGGCAGGTTTTTTTTTAAGTAGTAAATTTTATGTATTGTGTGTGTTGCCATCAGTATTGTAACAACTGAATATAACACAAGAAGGCAGAAACTAAAATTCTTGTTTTTCTTCTTTTTCCTCAAAAGTACATTTTCTATTACATTAGTAACTTTTTCTTAGAAACCAATCAAACAATTTAATTGAAAATTCCAAGGTAGTGTAAACATTCACTATTGCATATTTTGACTTGGTGTTTTTTTGATATTCAGTTTTTAAACGTTAATATGGGTGTTTGAGCTATCAATTATGCAAACTTCACCCATGTTCATTCAAAAAAATATTTTCCCTTGCACATGTCACAAAATAGTTAAAGAAAGAATGTCAAAAATGTGTATAAAGGTGTACTTCAACTACAGAAAAAAAATCAAAATCATGAGTCAGTTAGGAAGCAAGAGAGAGATACTTATGTGGCTTAGCATAGTACTCCCAGGTCTCCTTAATGAAATTAGAGGGTGTCGTTGTTGATCCAGAATTGATTGAGAATTTATAGTCAAATATGCAGCCCATACTATATATCAGTATAATCTCTCTTATTTATTTATTATTATTATTTATTTATTATTTATTTATTTATTTATTTATTTATTTATCATCAAGAAATAGTCAGTAACTGTATATGACATACTATGATGGAAAGTGTATTCTGTGTACATTTTCTGAAATTCTGGGTTCTCCACCCTAACTCCTATATAAATTGAATAATGAATACCATTTATCTGTGGTGGCTGGTGTCCCAACAAACTGGAGCTTAAAGATCCATTGAATGTTGGGAATGTAATTTTTAAAATTCAGAACACTAATATATAATAAAATGTGAGCAGATCATGTAAATTAAAAGTAAGTTTAATGAAAGTCTATATTCAAACATTACTTACATAATTTAATGTATAGTGTCCATGTCAGGTATGTTCACCTCCCTTAGACATAGTTCAGGCTTTGATTTCCAGTGGATACTCAAGATTTTGTATTAGTTCTGTATTGAGACAATTGATTGTAATAGTATTCTTACAAAACAAAAGAGAATTTTGTTTTGAAAAAACCATGATCGCACTCAGCATTTTCCAACAAGCTCTGTTGTTTGGACACACTAGTTTATACTCTTAGTTATTATTGGTGCTACTAGAGATGACAATAACAAAATAAAAGTACTTTCAATAACATGTGAAATTCATGTAATTAAGATCAGCTAGTTTCAGATGACGAAAATTGGTATTCCCCTGTGCGGGTGGAGAACTCCTTCATTTCTGCGTGACCCCCCCCCCCCCCCCCCCCCCACCTTTCTGGAGACTACAAGAGGCTGCATGAGGGTTTGTAAGCTGGCGTGCGGCCGCCATCTACAAGTGTTGCGGGTATGGGAAGTGCACTAGGCTCAGTGTTGAAGTTGTAGAGAGACATACGCCATGATTATACACTGATAAGATGTGATGTTGCAACGCTGTCTCCAGTAGTATGACGACCCAAGAGAGAGAGATGCTAGTAGGCGCTCTTTGATTTCAAAATGGTTTCATATACATAAATATTGCTGCAGTATCTCAAATATTTATTGAATAACAGCAAAATGAAATTGTATGATCCTAACTTATAAGAATTTTTTTGATAATCTGAATGTTGTGCAAGAGCCACCAGTGCAGTTGATTTCAAAACGACTTAATTGAAGTTGATAATGAATGGTCTCGTTATGTAAAGCCTCAAAACATCTAATAATAAAGTCCAAAAATCATTCTCTTTTGGAGTTTTATAACATTCCTATTACTGAAATTGGACGTTTGTGCAATTTGAATCTGTAAGTTTATTTTCGGAAAATTCTTTTAAAAAAATTTTTAAAAAAATATATGAATTATAATAGTCTGAAAACAAAACAAAACAACCAAAATTTTGTAAACCATTCTTTCAAAACCTTTGTTCATGTTCTGTCTAATTGTTATTATTCATATCATCAAGTTATTCATATTATGATTACATTGAATATTGTATATTATGGAAAAAATTGAAGGTGTCAATGAAACAAATCAATTTTTTAAAAGGGTGGGCACTTTCTAGAAAACTTTAGGAAAAATCAGGGAATTTGTAAAAGTTGTTAAAATTATAAAATTTGCATGTTGAATGTGCTAGTGTTTTAAGTTATTGTCTTTTGTAGCAAAGCGACAGCAAGACAAGGAGAAGTTGAAGGAGCATGACAAGTTGCGTATGCAGCTTGAACAGATGGTGGAGTTCAAGACGCGCATAATGGAGTCGCAAGCAGCTTTGCAGCGTGACCTCCAGAGGGCCAAACAGGAGGCTCGTGAAGCCATTGATGCTCGAGAACGCCATGCTGATGAAATGGCTGATTTGGCTGAGACAGTTGAGATGGCAACGTTGGACAAAGAGATGGCTGAAGAGAAGGTAAGACTCTTGAATATTACAGATTAATGTAGCTTCTCTGTTCTGAGCTAATACATAAGGTAGCAAAAGGAAAAAACAAAAGCAAATTAGACAAATGTGAACTTGAATTAAAAATGAAAATGCTTTTATTTGTTATTACATTTATTTACTTGTTTGTTTGGTGGTTTGTTTCTATCACAGTAAATGCATATTCTTAATGTTTGTACCATTTTATTAAAATTTGAATTTTTAAGATTTCCTAAATGATTTACTACAGCATGGTTCTGTTTTGAGCTAATGTTGACAACAGTACTCAAAATGTTTCAACATTCTTGCTGATGACAATGTAGATCTGTTATTTGTTCTTCTTAAAACTTTCAAGTAGTTAAGTATCAGGAATTTCAGTAGTTAATGATCAGGCTTCTTGTGTAATTGTTTGCTTCATCTCTCTCATTGGATAATGAATTTCCATGTCCAGGCAGAGACATTGCAGCTGGAGTTGGAGCAGGTCCGGGAACGCCTTGAAGAAGTGACTCTTGACCTTGAAATCCTCAAGGCCGAGCTGTCAGAGCGTGCAGGCGGCCCGCCCTCAGCAGACGGAAGTGCCCCGTCCTCGTTTGAGCTGAAGCAACTTCAGCAGCAGAATGCTAGGCTCAGGGAGACACTTGTTCGGTGAGTGGCTGATCCTTCTACGCTGCGTACCAGTCTTCTGTGTGAGTTTTGGAAATGTTGTGATGATGCAGCCAGTGAGGTCCTAGCTGTAAGAAAACACTATAGCTTCCCTTTAATGCAAACTACTCTTGTTGCATCCAGTCAAAGTAAGCCAATGAATGGGAATCAACTGCACTTAACAGGAACCAGCATTCTGTGACTGATGGCATGATTCTCTGTCCCATCCATGCAGATGCAAGTAAATAAATTGTATTCTAATTCAGATAATGGCAAAGAGTGCAGATCTAAATTAAATTAAATGCAATCAAAATCTTAATTACAACAATTTTTTTAGTAATCCTTTATGTACCATACATATGTATTTTGTCTATCAAACATGTGTATATATTTATTTATTTGAGCTTTTCATTGGATTAGAAGGATATGAAAACTGGCAAGACAGACCATTTCATTCCATATCATTTTATCTAATAAAAAAACCTCGAATGTATAAATATGAAAATAGTTTTAAAACTATTTAAGGCCATGAAGACGCCACACTTAAGTTAGTGTATTTGCCTTTGTTAGGATGCGAGACCTGTCAGCTCATGAGAAGCATGAAGCCGGCAAACTCCAAAAGGAGTTAGACCAGCGGAAGTCGGAGGTTCTGGAGCTGCAGCGCACCAAAGAGAAGCTGAGTGCTCGTGTGGAGGAGCAGGAACACCAAATCGCAGACCTCCAGGAACAGGTAGGTTATGAATACTATTAACACTTGCATGATGGACTGCAGTGGAACGATATTAGGGTAGTGGAGAAGGGGCTGGCCCCAACGTATTGTTTTATTCTAAATTCAACAGATAAGTTAAATTAAGCTAACATATTGGACTGAAGGACAGACAAGGAATCTGACCAGAGAAAAATAGAGTTAATGTTCTCCATCAAATAGAGTTCTGGTTATACAAAATATAGTATGTTGGACTAATCATTGGAAACTTACAGAGATGTGATGGCTGTTAGAGTAGTCTTTGGTGGTCATATGCTGATTTGTCAATAATAATTTTTATGTAGTTAACTGTATGCATGGTATTATTAATTTACAGCTGTTTCTTTTCAGTCGGATTCAACTACTATATCAATCAGACAGCTAATTTCCAAGGCTCTAAGATAGTTTCTACTATAATGGAAATAACAAAAACGTCTGTTATTATTGACCTTTTGAAAATGTTGTACAATCTATTTTCTTTTAATAAATTAACAATTCAATGGACATGTTTTATCTATTACTAGTCAAACCCAAATGTGAATCAAACAAATCTTTTAACATTACCCTTATCATGAAAAATAAATTTGTAACAAAAATATTTAAGGTGGAATTTTCATATTTATCGAACATAAGATGAGATTTTTTTTCTAAATATCGCATTTGAAAAATAGGTGTTAATCTTATATTCACATAGTTAGTCTGAATAATTTCAGGACTCCCAGATATACCATAGTGATGATTGAGTGAGGTTTATTTTCATAGCATAGTGAGATTTATTTTTTAAAATATTTTGGCAAAAAATGCATTGTAAATTATCTAATGTGTTCAAAGAAGATAGTGTGATGCACATCTAAGAGGTCAAAGGTTGGAGCTCCATCAACTTGATCCCACTTGATCCTCAAGTGCTCTCTAAAAGTAAGTTAGATTGGCATTTTGGAAACAAGGATATAGCATTCTGTAGCATTTATAAACAAGAATTATTTTTTTTTGATTTCCCCATTCAAATCAGGAAATAAAGGAAATTAATTTAATATTTCACCCTCTCTGAACTAACCTATGAAGCAACGCGTACATCTTAGGTATAGGGCCTTCTTCCTCTTCACATGACATTCTCTGGACAGCGAACTGGGGAAGCTGAGATCCCCTGAGATGACGCTGAGCGCTCAGACTTTCAGGATAATTTTCTTCTAATTGGTAATGCTATTTGTATACTTTGTTAAGTCAGATAAATATTAGTTATAAATAAATAAATTCGGTCATTCTTTAATTAAATGCTTTTAAACATCGATATGTTGTTGTTGTCACATCCTAATTAAACAGCGAACAAAAAGCAAACCATAAAATGGAATTTAGCAATTATTTCATAAGTTTCGTAGTTTTTTACCTGATATTTTCTGTGTTGGGTAACATTTCGCATTTTTAGCAAAAGTTAAAATATACCATCTATACTCTGCCATATCTACCATCTATACTCTACTATAATCTACTATATCGTGCAGATAGTTGAAAAGGAGATTTCTCCTCGAAAATCTAAAGACTTTTTAAACTTTATAGGCAGTCATAAGCAAGTCATTGCCTTTAAGAAAACTAAACCTATTAAGCTGTTGCAATTAACAGCAATCGCTGTTGTCTGAGAATCACGGAGACTCTCGAGTATTTTTTAAAAAAATTAAGGCAGTATTGACAAAATGAGCTTTAAGATATTGTTAATTTATAATGGCAGTGAATGGCAGTAAGTTAGAATGAGTTATTTCATTTGCGGGT